AGAACTGATCAGAACTGATTAGAACTGATTCACTGGTAGTGGTGGAGCAGCAGCTGCTGAGTCTCTGACAGAGAAAATCACTGGTTTGAATCTGAGGTTTGGTTTTGGTTCAGGTGCAGTTTTTCCTTGAACAGATAATTCAGTCGTAGAAGAACTCTGTGGTCAGTCTGTGGTCAGGCTGTGGACAGTCTGTGGTCAGTCTGTGGACAGTCGGTGGACAGTCTGTGGTCAGTCTGTGGACCGGCTGTGGTCAGTCTGTGGACAGTCTGTGGACAGTCTGTGGTCAGTCTGTGGTCAGGCTGTGGACAGTCTGTGGTCAGTCTGTGGGCAGTCTGTGGTCAGTCTGTGGGCAGTCTGTGGTCAGTCTGTGGGCAGTCTGTGGACAGTCTGTGGACAGTCTGTGGTCAGTCTGTGGTCAGGCTGTGGACAGTCTGTGGTCAGTCTGTGGGCAGTCTGTGGACAGTCTGTGGACAGTCTGTGGGCAGTCTGTGGTCAGTCTGTGGACAGTCGGTGGACAGTCTGTGGTCAGTCTGTGGACAGTCTGTGGTCACGTTTATACACCCTAGCTGGACTGTTTCTAAACTGACCCTTTGGGAGGACAGAGCTACATGCCCCACAACAGTGACACACACTGGTTGTCTTTGTTATAACATTGCTCATTTGATGTTTGATACTTTTCATATACGACTTTGTCCCGGTTGGTTGGCGAGCCTGTGACATCATCACATTCCTGACGGCACTTCCTGGTGTTTGTGCCGAGTGACATTGACGATTTGTCTGTCCTCACCGTCCACCGCCTCCGGTTCAATTTGGAAAAATGTTCCAGAGCTGAACTTCATGTGGAGGCCAAACGATAAACNTCCTCACCCCTCTTCATCGGGGAAGTGACCTCAGGCTGCGTCCATGTGACTGGCGTGTGTGAGTTGGCGGCGCTCAGCTGCGGTGATGTCATCCTTCTGGAGGCTCTTGTCTCCCCCTGCTGACAGAGTGTCCTCCCCCACTGGACTCCCCCCACTGGACTCCCCCCACTGGACTCCCAGACTGCACTTGTTTTTGTTGGTGTGGAACTGGTCTCCTGGTTGATTTGGTCTGTTTGTGACCGTGGTGAACTTTAACCTTTAACCTTTTGTGCTGTGCTTCCTGTTTTTGACTTGTTTTCGTTCACCTGGTCACATGGTTCACCTGGTCACATGGTCTCAGACACTCTGACCTGGGCCTGTTGCAGCTTTGTTTGTTTACACTGTAGCTGTGGGGG